TTCTGCCTTATGCCAGGCACTTTTCAATAAACCTCAGAGTTGGGCATTTATTCAAAAGAATGGAACAGTACATTAAGGAACATTCTAGCATCGCTTTAGGTAACTGGCCTGTCCCATTCTTGTATGGAATAAGAGAACTGAAATTATACAAGAAACCGACATTATAAAGTGCTGCAAGAAAATGAGAACTTAGGCATTTTGTTAATCCTGTAATTTGCAGAAACAAAACAGGGAAACAGGTAGACCACACTGCATGTATTAAAGCAAACCCACATCTGTAAATGACAGATCAGTAGGGTTGGAATGGTGCTAAAATATGACCAACTAAAAGATGCTAGACAAGCTTTTCAGCACAAAGTGCCATTTTGTCATTCAGGATTTTTTGTGCCCGAAAGCTTGTCTAATATCTCCTCCAACTATTTTGTCAGAAACCCTTTGCTTCTCATGCAACAAATCAGATAACAGGGGAGTGCAATGCTATGGCTATCCACAAGGTGTCTCTAGTTTACCAGAATCTGGAACCTGACTTCAGCTTCTTTTCATTCACATCCAAGTCTGATTTGTATTCATTAGGGCATAAGGGAAACACGTCTGGCGTTGGGTGTATGTATCTAAAATATCTATTACCTTCACAGGCTCTCCTTCTGATACATTATATTTATTAACTTATACTTTATAAGCAAATAAACCAAAAAATGGGATTTGTACAAATTGGAAATCCCGATATAACAGTCAGGTTCTGGTTAGAGACTCCATGTGAAAAGGGACAATCCAGTAAGCAGGTCCAATGTGGAAAGAAAAAAAAAAATACTCCAAATGATCTCCAGAGTACCATGAAAAATTTAAATTCAGAAAGTATTTATGAAGAACTGATATGCTGATATCCATCTGTACCAGTTGTGGTGTCTATCTCACCTGGGCCCCTGGGCCAGATCCACAAAGATCCAGATCCTTTCCCCCAAAAACAGTACTTCCAAGACCTTATCTACCAGACTTTAAAATATAAGTTGTGAAACACTGTCCTCAAAACAACAAAGTTCTACTATTTTTTCTTTGTTTCTTGCTTAGTTTTTTCTTAAGGATATCGTTTCCATTCACTAGATTTTAGTAGCCTACATTTAAATAGTCATTGGAACAGGTTTTGGAAACAAGACATCCCTTACCTTTTGCGAATGCCCTCTTAAGGAATAGGCTTCAAAGTTATTCTTTCTCCGGCTCAATGTTTATTCAAGTATTCCATGAAAAAATGGAAAAGTTTCAATTTTGCATTGTATATGCACCTAGTCATCTAATTTGGCCTGTTTGTGAATTCCAATAGATGGCCGAGTGCCTAAACGTTAGCATCTAAGACCCCTTGGGAATCTACCCCTTCCTTATGTTCCTAATTTGGGTGTGTAAAATGGTCAAAACCTTAAGGCAATCTGATTTTTCACAGAACAAATGCCAGCATCTTCTAAAAGTCAGGCCTCTTTAACATCTGTCTAGTTAGAAACAAATTGTGAAGCCAAAAATCACTAATTACTTTTGAAAACTCTTGGTCAAGTAAGTTAAAATCTCATCTCATTTAATTATGTTACAATTTGGCTTAATAATGGTGATTTGTTGAATTCATATTTCCTTACATCATTAGAGTTCTTGTCTTGTTTTTCATGCTTTTCCCGGTCATAAGCCATCTTTTTCAGTAGCTTCTTCATAGCTTTGTCCTTTCTCTCTTTTCTCTGGCTTTCTGCATTTTGCTTTCTCACTTGGTTGACAATGAATTTAGGTATCTGAAAGAATATTATTATAAGTATTAGCATTTATATACCTTTCTGGAAGTAAGCACTTTCTAAAACATTCTAAATGACAGCTTGTTCAATGGAATTAGCAAAAGTCATCCTTTATTTCCAATAATAAAAATTCAAATAGTCAAAGAGCAAGATTCTATATATGGGATCTGCTGCCTCTGAAATAAATGCAATATTCAAGAAATAAGCTTTTACTGTGAACAAGGAGAGAACTGAGGTTTTACATAGTTTGTCTACTTCCTGTATTCAGAAACATGTATTAATCAATGAGCCTATACTACAGAAACAGCAACATTTCTATACTTGTGAGAATGATAGAGATTGGTCTGAAGGCTCCTGGGAGTCAATATTTCACAGGTTTGACCTATATTCCACACGCAGGGTTTTCTTACACCATCATGACACAGCTTTTTTCCCCTCAAAGGACAAAATCCAACCCAACAGGAAAGGACTGAAATAATATGTTTCTTATAAAACAGGAAGTTAAACTGAAAAAAGTAAATTACTCATTAAAATGGATCTTTATCCAATATATTCATAGATATTCCACAGTGACTGATCTTTGAGGTCATGCGTTCTACAGACAGCATTCTGTTTGGACTCCAAAGGGGCTAATTTCCCTCTTTTCTACAATGATTTTACACTGGTTTGATTCCACTGAGAGACTGTGCTTCAACCCCCCCGCCACAACTCACTCACCCATACTTCATGGAAAGCAGTGCAGACACTTCTTTGCTCTTTGAAAGCAATGACACCTTGAGTGTGATTTTGTAAGGCTTAGAGGAAAAGTGAATATATATCTTAAAAACATACTTACTGTCCAAAGAAGTTTTTGGTATTTGATCATAAAGCGCATGACATTTGCTGTTCCAGCAGCCATAACAAACTCATTTTGTTCAATACTCTTTGAGCCAAACCCATGAAATGTGAAAAGGTTTGGGGCCACCACCATTGCAATGTTGTTTAGTGTCATTTTATTTTTGTCTCGATAATCAATTATCCTTTGGAGGAATTCAAGTAGTACCTGAAATGACAGTAGCACTTGAAGTCTAATTCTGCACGTGAAAAAGTAATACACAGTAAAGCATCAAGTTACATAGTCACTAAAAATGTTTTTTATGCTGTTGTTAAAACAGACTTAAAAAAAAAAAAAAAAAAAAAAAAAAAAAAAAAAAAAA